CAAAGAGTGGGACAGAGCTTGGCCCGCACACGATAAACAGAGATAATATTTGAGGGAACTATTTGGTGCTGCAGGCTTCAACTTTCCAGCTCCAGTAATTACATGGTTTGAAGATCTTGGAATAACCTTTCAGAGCTATTTTTCAGGTCCGTACTTTGGACTGAACTGTCAGGGACTTTTGCATAAATCTGAGAGTTAAGTTCAGCCTCTCGGTCGGATTAAAGCCAGTTATTTCTTGGTCCATAAGCCATTTACCTCTTGTGACCATGAATCTTCAGGAAAAGCTGTCGGGCCTAAAAGGTCTGGTCTCACACTCCCACAGCAAGCGCCGCTTCAAAAGTGACCTCACAGTGGAAATGATCAGCCCTCCTCTGGGCGACTTCCGCCACACCATGCACGTGGGCCGTGGCGGCGACGTGTTCGGGGACACCTCCTTCCTCAGCAACCACGGTGGGTCAGCCAACAGTAACAACCGGGACACTGATTCCATCTCCTCCCCTGACAACAAGATCGGAGCGTTCTTCTCCAGGACGCTCCGTCAAATCAGGAGGGGCTCGGACAACCGACCCAGAGAGGGATCCAAGGACCTGTCTCTGCCGCCTCCTCCCATTTCTCCCATCATCAAGAATGCCATCTCCCTTCCCAGGCTGGATGTGGACATGTCTAATGGGAGTCCCACCACCAAAGTGCTATTCCCCAGTTCTCAAAATACGCCAGAGGAGAAGAAAAGCTCTTATGGTGAGTTTGGGAATACTTTTTCTTCAAGTCTCCAGTTACTTATTATCCTCAAAATTACATTTTCCGAAGGTGTGTTACGAATCAATTCCCCTTGTGGCCTGAAAATCACCTCAAACGCTACTCCTCCCTTCCTCATTTCTAACTGGGATCTACGAAAAAGCTAATATGATCAGTTCACCTGTCGTCGTTGAGTCTTTTCCAGCAACTGAGTTGATAGGATTGGACTCTTAGGTTTGTGACACCACCCTGGCTCTATGAATCAGTTTTTTTCAAATTGGCTTTAATTTACTTCAGTGTTAAGGTGGAAGTACTCAGCCATGGTGCTGACCTGTAATTATGCTCAGAATATGTTTTTCATCACATAAAGGGACCAGAGAAACTTGATTTTGACTTAAATCTTCTCTAATGGATATTTTTACAACAAGTAGCTGTCTGTGTTGTGATAACAGGTACACATCATTTCTGGCTTTATGATGTATTTCCCCTAAAATAACTGAAAGAAGTTTACAGATTTAATTAAATCTTGGATTGGATTTCCTGACACAAGCTGCATCTTATCTCCAACGAATATTTCTTGATATGATGTCATTTCTTTTATATTACCAGTTATTCAAGTATTAAGTATATTGACTAATCCCAAAATGATGCTTAGGTGTTTTTTTTATTAAATAGCCACATTTAAAAACAAAAAAAACACATAGTCAAAGATTAAATGAGTTAGCGTCAGTGTTTAACTGTGCTGCCTCAGGGAAACTCATCCATCAGTTCTGGACGGATTTGGTCCAGATGTCCTTATGAATCACCTTGGCTCATAATCAGCAGTACTGATAACGCACAGAGATCTAGACACAACAGACAACAAGCTGTCTGAGAGGCTGTTTAAATGACCCACATTAACACCACACTCACGGCCGAAGCAGTCTGATCTTCCCTGTGTGTGTGTGTGTGTGTGTGTCGCAGAGTAAAAAGATGATTTTTTTTAAGGTTTAGAAGAAAGGTTAGATTGAAGTATGTAGTGGTTATTTTTAGGGTTAGGGCTAGAATCCAGGAAATGAATATGAGTCCATGTTAAGTCCCCAACGATGACCTATGACAACGTGTTTAAATGTGTGTGTGTGTGTGTGTGTGTGTGTGAATTTCTGAGAATATTGCTCCAGAGTTGGATGACGAGATCCATATATTTATACAGTTAAATTTACCTCTGCCAAGGAGGTTATGTTTTCATCTACATCTGCCTGATGAAGAACACTGAAACTTGGTGGAAGGATGTGGAAAACCCACTAAATTTGAGTGTAGATCCAGATCAGGGGACAGTTCTAGGATTTTATGTTTCATTCTCTAACATTGTGAGACGTTTCACAACATTTTTGTTGATCTCTCAGAGAATAATTCCTGGACCTTAATGAAAAAAAATCAGGCATGTTTATGGCTGTGATTAAATCCAGTGAATTTAAATATGGTTTCATAAGGGGACTGTTGGGCTTAGGCAGATGTATGAGCTCTACTGAGTGACATTCCTGTTGTGTGTACTCTCCAGTAATTATCCATTAGGCACATGGATGGATGGAGATTCTCCAGGTTTACGCTTCAGAAGCTGGTTTCACTCATGACTTCTGTCCTCTTCTCTGATTAAAATGTGTTAATCTGTGCGATCACACGCCATTTTCTTTGGCTGGAACAGTAAACCTCCAGACTCTTGGCCCTGACATTGATATGTGCTGTGGTAATTTACCCGTTTGGGTCATGGAGGCAGCCGAGTGTGAGCGTGTGACTTGTTAAGTGATCTGGCAGGTCTGGATGAGTCACGCTTCTAAGAACAGAACAACTCAACTTGTCTTCGTCAGTAGACAGGATGTCCTCAGATGGGTTTATACTGCCCCCTGTTGGAGGTGTATGCTAATGTTGAATGTCAAAATATCTTTATTGTCTTAATACTCAGGTACAAAGGTATTATTATATTAAAGTGTAAAAATAAGGTGAATATAAGCATGTAAACAAAAAATTTAAAAAAATTTGATTTAACTTTGTTTTCAGGTAAATAAAATACAATCTCAAATTTATGTTATTCAAATGCAGTGTCTGTGGTGACTATCCCTCTCAAAATAACAATCATAACTTTATATTTATATAGCAACTTTCAAAACAGCAGTTACAAACCGCTTCTTTTAGGTGCAACTGGTTATGGATAAAGAATCATTTATAACAATGGGATATATGCTTGGTTGCTTTCTTTACGAAAACCTCACACCATAAAACCACAACTTGTGTTTTGATCACTTAGAGCCGAAGAGGTGCTGCTTGGCACGTTTCTAGTTGTTTCCCCTTCACTTCCAGTCTTTTTGTTAAGCTAATCATCCCCTGGCTGTAGCTTCATACCGTCCTTACACACATAGGAGTGCTATCGTTTGTCTCGCCTAACCTCAAAATGTTGAAATATTCCTATGTAATGTAGAGGAGACAGAAAACCTCAGCCTTGATTTCATGTTTCAATGTCTGTGTGTGTCCCTCAGGTCTGGAGTCCGGCTTCGTCACTCTGCCTCGTCTCTCCCGCTCGGAGCGTCAGCAGCCCTCCATCTCCCTCCCCACTTCCTGCTCCCCCAACATCCACCGAGGCTCCCTGACCGACCCCACGGACGCCATCTTGTCCACCTGCTCTGCTACGATTGTGACCTCTCACGCCAAACCTGCCACCAGCACCGCCACCGCCTACTCTGACTCGCTCCCCTCCCTCACCTCCCTGGACACCTTCACCTTTGACCTCGGCCCCTCCCTCATGAGCGAGGTGTTTGGCCTGATCGACGGCCACCCGGAGGAGCACGGCCATGCCTGGGAACGAGAGGAGGTGGGTTCAGCAGGTGGGCTGACCAATGAGGGATCGGAGATGGACTCAGCCACTATCTCATACGTGGACTCCCTGCTGAGGGAGGACTGTGGTGGCAGGAAGAGCCCACATGCAGTCGACTGGGAGGAAGAGGAAACTGTAGTGGAGGAGAACGAAGTCGGGCTCTCTGTTAAAGTGCCTGATGTGGTGATGGGGTCTCCTGAACGAGCGAGGTTGGGAATGGGGATGGAAAGTGAGCGGTTCCAGAGCGCTACGGATATGCTCGCACGCCATTATGGCGTTGGCCAATTAAAGGGACAGAGCAGGGTGGAGGCTGCTGACTCAGAGATGATGAGCATCAGCCAGCACAAGAAGAAAATGTCTTACAGTTACATGGACGACGAGGACGAAATCAAAGTCTGAGCTGAGCAAATCAGAGAAATTTCATTTAACTAAAACATTTGATTCTTCTGCAATTCCAATCAATTCAATCATCTAAAATGTTGCAATGGTCAACGAGGCTGGCTCTGTTGACAGGACGACCATAAATACATCAACCTGCGTTCAGTCTCCTTCATACTGCATCTTTCCCTTTATAAAACTATTCTTTGAGGATGTACAATTTTGATACCTGTGGCTGAATGTATTTTAAAGGAGTGAAAGACTCAATGCTGCAAGTTTCCAAGCTCAGCAGAGAAAGGAAGACTGTGTTTTCCCAAAAAGACTGAAATGAAAAAAAAGAGTGGAAAGAGAGGATGTACCATAGAATGTGAGATGGGATAACGGTTGGAGGAAACATTATAAAACCTGTCATTCACTTTATACATACGATAATACACACGTCCTCACACAAGAGGGGAAATTATTCTCTATGCAAGTTCGTCTCTGATGAGCAGACAGAGAGGACATTAGAAAAATAGATTTAATCTTGCTACAACCCTTTGCCGTCACTACAATCTCTCGTCAGCTTTTCACTCAGGAATAAAATACCAGGAATGAAAAAAAAGGGAAGAGAACTCATGAGAGATCTGGAATCTCAGGATCAACCTCAGACAAAAGATAAACCACAGAAACTTGTCAGCTGTTGAACTGCTCGGACTGAGGGAATATGACGACAAGTTAATACCGGCGTTTGCTTGAAGCAATTAAAGCCTCAATCATATATATGTTCATTTTATGTTGCAAACCTTTTCTTTAGATACTCAGTGCACCTTTTATCATAAAATGAATATGAAGTCCGACTCCTGTATTGATTTTTATAGAAGAACTGTCATTTATATATTCTTTTATACAACTCGAAGATATCAACTGACCTCCTATAAATATGTACTTACAGTATGAGCACCTGCAGCACATAGTGCAATTCACTTCCATATGCTGCAGTCAGTACCAATGATATAATACGATGATATAATTTGACAATAAACATGTTTTTAATGAGGCTGAATATGGTTTTATTTACATGTGTTCTCATGTATAACATGTTTCTTATCTGCAGTACTGATCTGAAATCCTGAAAGATTAAAAGTCAAAGAGCTAAAAGCAGCAGAAGCCACAGAAATCTGATGAAAATGGCATGAATTCAAATTGACCACAGCCAACATCCTTTCTGTGAAAAACAGACTTTGGGTGGAGTTTCATTTAACAACAGTCAAACCTCACTTCAGCCTTGAGGTCCATTAAATCATTTGCCAGCTTAAATGAACACTGTGATGGTGTAGATTTATGGAAAAATACAACCTAAAAACATTTTTAAAAAACTGGCAGACTTTTTTTGGATGTGGATTCATTTATTGCTTTAGATATTTTTGTTTTAACCAAAAAGACATTGCATTCTTGGAAATATCGGACATCAATAGACAAATAAATAAATGGTAACGGTTATGGAAAACATGGGCAGAACCAAAAAATGCAGATATAAAATACATCCTGGAAGGCACTGAACAGCACAATAACAATGTTGAACAATAGGGAGGACGTGTTTCTAACGTCTTTCACGGTGCTACAGAGGGAACTTCTTTGGCCTGTGATGGTGGAGGAAGTGGTGGAGGGCATTTTGGTGCTCTGAGTCCAGGCTTTTTCGGTGGAGGCTTTTTCAGGGCGGCTGCCTGAGCTCTGGGTGCGGGTATTGGCTGGGTCCCAGTCTCTGCGGCCGCTTTGGCTGTGGCTGGGTGTGGAGGGGCCTGAAGCTTGGGAGGCCCAGGGGCTTTCGGCTGCTTAGAGAACTGAACCGTCACGTCGCTAGCTTTGTTCATGCAGAAGGATATTTTTGCTGTATAAAAGTGGGAATATAAGGAAGACACTGATCAGGGTGTGTCCATAGACTGTAAATAAACATGGTCTCCACTTCCTATCACTATCCAGAAGTGAAGCCAAAATATCCTGGATATGAATGCTGCCATCTTCTGCAATTGGAGCAAGAGTCTGCACAGCTGCAATACACACACTGGAACAATGGCGAGTCCTTCTCAGTGGTCCATCATGATGTTTTCACACTCATCAATTAATTAATTAAAACCAAATAAATTAGGGGAAAATGAAAACTTGGAAAAACATAAGTGTGATAAGAAATACCTGAAATGATAGAAATTTTAATTTAGAAAAATGTATTTGATGTGTACTTTGACTTTTTAGTTTGGTCGTTCTCCCATCCACTTACATGGATGATGCATGGTTTATGAGCTATACTGTAGCCAGCCACCAGGTGGAGATTGATTCTATACAGTTCTTTTCAGAAAGCAGAAATTAATGTTTCTTCTACTGTCCACTAAATGAACCTTTGATGGTAAAAATTTTAACCTTTTCTTACCTTACTACCTTATGAAATGTTTTTAGTTCAAACATCGCTATAATTTCTAATTGAAGAAACAACATAATCTTCTTACAGACAAAAAATGAATTCTGCTGAAGCCTAGCTAATGCTAATGTAGTGTAAGTTATCCTTTAGATCCTGCTGAACAACTGATATACAGTAGTTTGGTGACTGTGTCTCTCCTTTACATTTTGCATTCCATTAATTAAGCATGATGTTCCCGTAATTATCACAACTGACCACAATGTCAGCTGTTTAAAAGCTACATCATTTCATTTTATCTCAATTTCAAAGACAAATGTCCCCAATCTTCTGAGCATATTTTTTTCTAGATGATTATTAATGTTTAAACTACAAAAAAAATCCAACATTTGTCCCAATTACTAAATGGTGTTGAATTTCAGTTAGATTTTTGGGGGGGAGAACTATAATTGAAAGTGAATTTAACATTGTGTGGTTCTTTATATTACAAAATGCCACAATGGCTTCTGTTGGTTAAAATCAGCTCTGAGGTAGTTACAACAATGACGCATGACGTGAAAGGTAGATATTTTGGTCAGTGGTCTGAGTCTTCCTGTTTCCTGTGTACTTCCTGGTTGCCATGGCGAGCGGTACTTTATTTTCTCTCCATCGACAAACCACTGAGTTGATTTTGTGAGAGGAAAAGGGTAGCAGTGAAGAATCTGTACACAACGTTACACAATAGAAGGATATATAAATAATGAGGCCGGTCTGCGCCCTCAGCCCTGAAACAACAATGAATGATGGGACTGTCGCTGCTGTAGGAAAACAAGTGTGAGGCCACTTAAAGGGGAAGTCCACAAATTTTACACATGATGACTGTAAGGATCTGTAAGTTGATAAAGTGACACTGATGATGTCAAAGAGATGTCATCCAGGTCATCTGAGACTGAAAGCCTACATTGTGAACTTCAGATTTGATAGATGTGGCAACAAGAGATGTAGTTGCATCATGGGAAATGTGGGATCCAGTGTTTTCAGGACTTGATTTGCCCAACGGACTAGAAGTCAAGAACTTTTGGAGTCTCTTGTACCAATTCTGACCCAATGTCTTTGTGTGCCACCGTAATAAACGTGTGAGGCTAAATATCTTTCATGTCTGTATGTTCCTGAAAACAACAACCTAGGTGCGAACACACCCATGGTTTCTGAGGTTTTCACTTAGTGCTTTGGTTATGATTTGTTTTCAAAAGCTTTGCCATTATGAGATTCTATCAGTCTGAGCAAAATGTGAGTAAATCCTTCAGATTTCATACACAACTCTATCTGTTTGAACATAATGTTAGACTCAGTGGACTTTGACTTACGTTTGTGCAGGGAGGTTTGCTTCAGCATCATTGTGGGAGAGCGTGGAGGTGCCTCCAAAATGGACTCCAGCTGGCCTTTATCCGAGCACTGCTTCTGGGTGGGGGTCTTGGTCTGACCTGGGTTTGGCGTTGATCCCGTGACTCGAGGAAGCGGACAAGGGCTCTGGTTCGCCGTTGAGCTGCCGACAGCGGAAGTATTGGAGGCCAGAATGGGGTCGGGAGTGAGAGATGATAAGCCGCTGGACGTTGTGTTTTTCTGGGTTAGTGCCGTTGGCTCAGCTGCAGGGCTGGCCCATGTGGAGGTGCCACTGCGACTCACAGAGCCAGATTTCAACAGGAAGAAGCTGCCACTGTCCTGAGAGGCTGCGCTGATGGGAAGAAAATTACAAAAGGTTAATGTTTTTCTGTAAAAAATACCGTGTCTAGTTAGTACATAAACCTACCTGCAGCTTTAGTTCTATGTCACAGGAAAGATCAGTAAGTTTGTCAATATTGTCAATCCATTGATCATTTGAGACTTAGCTGCGAATAAAGTCCTGACATAAGGATACCTGTTTGTCTTGGAGAGGGCGAGGTGATAGGATGAGCCGGAGGAGGTTGTGGATGAAGAGGATACTGCTCTACTCAGTTTCTCCTTTTCTGAGATCAGAGACGGTGCAAGGGGAACAGGAATGGTCACATCTGGGAACTCAGGAAGGTCTGGGATCTCAAAGGATACAGCTGACCAAAACAAGATATGGAAAAAAATGTTTTGCGAAATCAAATAGACGTCTTTTCATCACACAGAATAATTAACCCTAACCCTGTTTATATGGTGATGATGAATTAGTGCAGATTTGAGAATATAGTGACACTGCTGTATGCATGTATACATTCACTGCATTTTTGTTATGTTTTCAAACACAGTGGAACAGAACACACAGAAAATATGTGCAGTTATGAATGCCTGTCGTTATAGCAACCTGTAGATTTTGCAAAGAGCTAAAGAGATCAAAAGTTTGGGAATGATATTTAATCAGATTTAAATCTTGTTTACCTGGATTCCCAACCAGTATAACAAACTGATAAATATTGTACCAAAAAATAATAATCAAGTGTGATCAAGTAAGCAATTACTAATTACTTACCAATCCATACTCAATGCACAGAGAGTAAGTGAAACAAAAGCATCAATGTTTAAGTGTCACTGCTGTGATCTCTTGGTGAGATTTACCTCATCGTTACTGAGAGAAATTATTAAAAGCCAAAACTGCAAATCTGATAACTTTTAAAATAAGTTAACCAGAACCACCCCGACATACCTTCAGGGAAGAGGCTGGAGCTGTGCTGAATAAGAGGCTCGATAACTGTGACCACCTGGACTGAAGAAGCTGACGCCATGTCAAACAGAGCAGCTTCACTAAAGAGACACAGAGAAGCAGAGGAAACAACAAGAGGTCAGTCTGAGAGAAAATGACAATTTATCACAGACCTGGTATTAACCGTCCTGAGAGAGCTGATCAAAAGTGGTCCACGCTAAGTTTTTCTGTTTACACTTGGTGTTGAAATGCTTCTTGAATCGCTCCATATACAAAAAGAGAGATCTCTGCAGGCCGACGTTTCCACCATAAGCTGCCCATCAAGTAATTCATACACAGAAAATAATTTCTCATTATTGTGAGCAGATGTTCTGGTTCATTTATAGCACTGATGCTCAACTGAAGATGAGGAAAAGGAAGGACAGGCCGAACAGGGAACATGAACGAGTGGAGTACGGTAACAGTGCACACAGTATCAAGACAAGTTCTTTCATACGCACCCTTCAGCTCGGGGCCAGAGCAGGTTGGGCCCCAGGACGATGGCGATGTTACTGGGGCTCATCTTGTTCACAGCCTGCTGCTCAGACAACAGAGACAAAAACTGCACCAGATACCTGACAGAGAGACGGAGGAAAACACAAAGACTGGGTAATGGAAGGAGACATGGGAGTTCAGGGAGGATCAGTCTGTCGTCATCACCACCTAGTGGCTTTCTGTAGTACAAGTCATAAACCCTGCCTCCTCCATATTAGTGAATGGGACATGTACCAAACAAAAAAAAAGTCAGACTACACATAAAATCATTTGTTCTGTCTTTTTAGATCTTTTTTTAGCACACTGATGTATGTTCAAGGGATCATTTTCTGTTCTTATTTTTTATTAGTTATATGATGTGTCACAATTGGTCGAGCATGTGTATTGGTGGGACCTCACTACCGCGGCTCCATCCCCCGTTAACTATTGCTCAGACTCTGGTTCCAAATGTGCAAGATGTATATTTGAGCTTCATTTCTGTGTAGGAGGAAGTGGAAACTTGTCATCCATACAGCTAAATCAATGAATGATAGCGCTACAGGAAAGGTCAGGGCATCGCCAAAGTCAGATGTATCACATTTTGGATCAAAGTGATGTGGAGTGACCGACAGACTGACATTACCATCTGTAGCTGTTTCACTAATGTGACTAAAAGGCATTTCGAAAGTGAAAGTTCATGTGGAAGAAAAGAGCATGATCAGATCGGGCACAAACCTGAGGTTGTTGTAGTTTTCAGGTGGGAGTTTCTTCAGCAACACTCTGAACTGCTCCAGTTTCTCTGTCAAGTCTTTTTCCCTATGAAGACACAGACCAAACTCAAGACACAAACCTGAAACCACAGTGAAATGAGAAATATTTTGAGTGTCGATGCTACACACACCCAGCTGCTTTGAACCAGTCTTTGCAGAGTTCAAAGGTCATCAGGGGCTCGGGCAGTTCTCGAAGGTAACACTTCAAAGCTCCTGTCATCGGATTCACAGACAAACAGTCCACAATCACAGAAGTGTTTAATCAGTTCAAGGTGAAATATACTTACAACAAAATGCTCTGCTGACTTCCCTCACTGCTTGATAAAGTAGAGTGATTTTAGGTTACTGCTCTAAAAATTCTCCAGCATACAGGAACTGATTTATTTCGCATGTGTGGAAGTTATAACGGGCTGAGTGAACCGAAGAGGAACAGTGAAATGAGCAGTGAAAGTCAGGTTGGCTGATCAGACATAGAGAAACACCCGTGACTAATCTTTACCGGCCACAGCGTGTGGGTCCATGCTGAACTCGCTGTGGTCCACTGTTCCTTGATCCAGGCAAGTCTTCAGCCTCTTCACCACCGAGGCTGCCGCCGCCAGACGGAACAGACCCTTGAGAGGCAAGCGAGGAGAGGAAGAGTGATTAAGTGGGAGAGCTAGTGTTTAGACCCAATGTTTTGTCTGAATTTAGAAGTAAAATGCAAACAGTATGCAAGTCTTTCGTGATTGCGGTGCTCTCTGATAATATTGCATAAAGGAAGCATACATGGGGTAATAAGTATCGGCCCTAGAACACAACCTTGTAGAATGAGTTGACTATTATTTTTGGACATGTAAGAGTCCTTGCTCTCATCAACAAAGCGTAATCTGATAAATACAAATTAAACCAGCCTAGTGCTGTTTCATTAACCCCAAAGACATGTTCCCTTCTCTGCAAAAGAATCGTGTGATCAGTTGTGTCAAATGCTGTGAGATCAGTACAGAGACAAGCCTGATTTCTTTTTCATCCCATCACTCCTACCTCCTCTCCCATGCCCGTTCTCAGCAGCATGTGAATACACTCCTGGATGGGTGTGGCGATTTCTCTGTCGCTTTGAGACAGATGAGACAGCAGAGGCTCCCCGTAGACTTTCTTATTGGAGAGGCCCAGCATTGGCCCTGCACAATCAGACAGAGCACACAGGGGAAATTAGCACATGTAGCAATATTGCGTCAATATTGTGACGGTGGAAATATACGCTCAGATAGACACACACAAGTTCACCATTTTGACTGTGATTCTCTTTGAGCTCGCTGATGTTTTTGTCCAGGAACTCGTGTGAATGTTTGTGGTATTCTGCTTGCAGCTCGAGAAGCTACATTTGTACAAACAAAAGAGGTTGTTGATATGAGAAGCTGAATGAGTAAAGATTACAAAGTTAGACATGAACACTTTAAAATTCATTCAGATGTAAAAAAAAAAACAAAACCCCGTAAAGCAATCACAACTGCAGCTCACACGAATGAAGTAATTAGCATAGGAATCTTCTTTTGTTGCAAAGTGGTACAGATCTGCAGAGTACTGGTCCTGCAGAGACAGAAAACATCAAGAATAAACCATTTACTTCACAGAGCTACTGGTGGGGGTTCAGTGTCTTGCTAAAGGACACAAGGTACTCTTACCTTGATGCTCTCCAACTTCCTCCATGCCTCTTCCACTTCCTCCCGAAGCCCCTCCTGCTTTGCCTGGGGACCAGTGCTGGCCTGGCTCCTGTCCACAATTATACACAAAGAGGACATTCCATTGATTTTCTGGAGACTTTCTTACCTGAACCATAGTAACTACTCTTCTAACCCTTACCCCAACAATTAACCAAACACATTTTCATATTAAAATGTTTACATTATGAGGAATTTTTTCTCCCAATACGGAAGAAAAGTCCCAATATTGTGACTATATAAACAAATTTAGGTCCCCACAACATGACCTAACCCTGAGTGAGGCTGTGTACCTCACCTGATTCTTGCATTGTTCCAGTCTGTAGTGAGCTTTGTAAATTGCTTCTTGTTCTTGAGAATCTCTGGTAAATCATCCTAAAAAGAAAACCAACAAGGGAAAAGTTCTGAGACTAAACTTTTTAAATATTGTGTGGCCTTTTCAGTGGTGACTGAGCTCTATATGTGTTTGTTTTTGCATTAAACAAGAAAATACAAATGAGCCAGTCAGACGCTCTGAAGCACGAAGACAAAATAGCAAGAGCACTTGACATATAACTAGTACCATGTTTTACAATGGTTGTGAGTATTTTAAGATGCAGTGCAGCCGTGGTTTAAGTGTTCATGAGAAGTCTGACGGAAGTTTCTTTTTGGTAGCTGCTGTCTCACCTCGCTGAGCTTGTTGAGCGGCACCAGGACTTCCCTTTCCAGTTTCATCTCAAAGTCGGCCAGCATGCTGGCCAGCATCTTCTCCATGAAACAGCACATCTCCAACACCTTCCTGCCACACACACAGAAACCATCAAACACACACTGTAGAGTGCCTGCAACAACACCTGCAAATATATATAATATTCTGATCCAACATGGGACTCCCTCATGTCTACTAAACATCTGATGCATCATTAGACAAAGCAAGAGACATGGAATTAATGGCAGCTCATCTTATTGCTCTATCAACTCTATGACTATAAATAAACAATACAGTAAACAGAGGGTCTACACAGGGTGGGGGACCAAAGTTCAGAGTGAGTATGTATGTATGGATAGATAAACTGCAGAGGATCAAACCCGTCACCTGATAGAGGACTCTGCGTCAAAGTCTTTGAGGCTCTCTGCGATACTGACAGACAGCAGCATCAGAGGGAGCTTTTTCTACGGAGAGAGAAGTGGGTGTGACACCTGTCAGCGACCAATCAAATATGTTTCCAGAGATGCTGTGGATGCAGTAAGTCTCCAAGTGTCTGAGTACCATTCGTCTCTCAGCCTCCAGCCCGGGCTGACTCTGCATGCAGCCCTGCAGCTTCTTGTAAACGACCTGGGCCGCCTTTTTGGCTGGTTCCACCCGCTGCTCCACCTTCATTCATTTATGCAGTCACACACAAACAAACAAATCATTGTCTAAACATTGTCTATAATAAAGTGTGCACTCATTTGCATAGTTTTCAAGAGCAGAAGTCATTAGTGCCAAAGATTTTGATAGAGGGTTTTTTGTACTTCTCTTTTTAGCACCACATCAGAAAATACTGACAATATCCATCCCTGTAAACAATCAGAAGTGAGACAGGGATAAAACTGGAAAAAAATTATTTTGAGAAAACTGTATGACGTGATGTAATGTATGGAAATTGTAATGTGCAGATATGAACAGAAAAGGTGTGTAACTTAAGTTTGTTAATTTGCTCTCTGGATGTTTTCTTTCCACAAGAAACAAAAAAATGTACTTCAACCTGTGGAGTCTCGATTTAAGGTCCAGTGTGTAAGATTTAGGAGAAAGGGAACTATTGGCGGATATTTAATGGAGAATAATCCTCATAGAATAGAATAGAATAGAAACTTTACTGTCATTGTACAACATACACCGAAATTAAGGTGCAGCTCCAGAAAGTGTTTTAAGGGAGAGTTGACCCACCACCAAAGAAGCCCGAAAGTAATATTTACATTCACATTAGTGCAGCGCACACACACATCCACAAACACCCACACACACCCACACTGGTCCACACACACACACACACAAATATGAATCGAACAGATCCTACAGTGCAAATGGAAAATGGACGATCATTTATACTCGCATTCAGTGCACTCAAGGTATATAGACTCAGCTACACACACACAGTAACATGATGTTTTCACTAGTTCATCTCATCTAAATTGTATGAATTGTAGTTTTCTTTACCCCAGAAAAGACCCTTTATATTTAAATACTTTATATTTGCATGCAGGGGGTGCTCTCTACGGAGGCTGCCATGTTTTTTACATTACTCCAGACTGAACAAACTAAACACCTTTTGAGTTTTTATGACAACTGAAGCTGCCACAGGCTCTTTTTCATGTTTGGAAGGAGAGGGTGAGGGGAGGGGTGTTCAGCTGCAAAATATAATGTCAACACTAGATATCACAAAATTCTACACACTGTACCTTTAAGTTGCTTTTAACATGGTGTCTCGTGTTGTGATGAACCAGTCACCAAGAACACTCAATCAAGGTGTGTGCCATAAATTTCACATTTGGGTGAGAGTGTCTTCTAAAGCTCATTGAACACATCATTTACCAACAAGCACATGGACGAAGCAGTAACTATAACTGTATTGTTAGTAATGTGTTATTCATGCTGGTATTACTTGTCAGGATGAGACAGAGTTTTTCTTTTTCTCACCAATACCAGGTCCTCGTGTAGTAGTTCAGTGGCATCTTGTGACCTGATGATGTGACACAGAGTTGGTTAGTGAACGTAAACTCTCTGATGTCAGATAACAAGCTTCAATTTCAACATTCAAATGTGGTTTCTAGTTATTCTATTATTGTCTTACTGATTTGCTGGTTATTTTCTCAATTAATCTCATCTATTAAATTCAAATTTCCATCACAGATCTTCCTTCTCCGCTTCCTCCCACCAACACTGCCATCTTGTCCATTTGGAGCCTGTACAGTAGTGAAAGGGGGATGTACTTTAACTTTTTTATTTGGTCCTTGTCCCATTTATTACCATGGAGGAGGCTGGGTTTATGACCTACACAGCAGCCTGCCACCAGGGGGCTATTGTGACACTGCCTTCACTTTAGTGGCGCTGTCATGTCGTCCATCTTAGCTGCGTGCTGGACTGTTCGCAGTCTTTGTGCTAAAATGAGCTAAGTAGAAGCTGATGCTAACTTCATATCACTTACTTAAGATTAGAAATAATCATCAAATACAAACTGGTATATCCATTGGCCAACTGTGGTAAACTTTTTTTTAGATCAGCCTGAAAAACAACACAAAGCCAACAAGCTGAATGTGAAATGTGAGGGTTGTCTGTGGTTTACTGCAGCACCAGCACTGAGAGAGAAATGACGGTTAAACACCACAACTCTGTTTCGCCTCCGCTGTGGCATGCAGTCATGGGAAAGGGGAGGTGAAAGAGCTCAGCAGAGATGAAGCACAACACGTGTCTCTGCTGCTGTCAGAACATCTTTAAGTTAGTGATGCAGAAAAAGGAAGCCCAGCCCAGTTTGAAAAGAGGTCAGATGAGCTTCAGCACATCCTAGTATGTACGTTTTTGTTTTCCCCAATGAACTTGTCACCTGACATTTCAAAACACAAAGAGGAAGAATGCATGAAGCTCACGTCATTTCCTTTTTGTAACTTTGGGAGATGTTACATTACATGCCAGCAAATGTAGCGTAGGCTTTATAAGGAGAGTTGAAGCGAGGGTTGGAAATCGAGTAAAAGATATCAAGAGCAGGCCAAACGATACTGCCCACGCCTTCCCATCAGCCCTGATGTCAAAGCTACACCCCCAAAACACATGAAGCCAACTTTTCCACCACGTGCTTGCTAATTTCTTATTGGTCGTGTTTATTACAGTCATGCGAGGATCACAGGCAAAAGCTTTTTATCCTTTTTTCAGATGACTTTATTCGTTGATGGCTTTCAGGGGCGTGATATTTCAACAAATACGATTTTACACACATTATCAGCCCTACCTTTAAAAGTGTGACACTGTTGATCTAAGAATCAAACAGAATCAGTAAACTGCTCCACACAAAGTGAACACTGACGTCTCCCTCGATAAAAACATACTGTACATTACATGTGAACACTTAGAATGCATGCGTGTGCTACTGTGCATAATGTCTGTGCATGTGTTTATCTCATCAAAAGTCACAGAGCTGAAGCAAAGTGAGAACTCGGTGGAGGGATGTTTGTAGCTGAAGTGCACGTTGCTCTGCTGCAGATGCATGGTGTGTAGGTTTATTGTTACACACACACACACACACTCAGACAAAGTGCAGGGGTATGATTTCATCACCCACTCGGTTGCAAAAACTCTCAAGACCCGAGGTAATCGACTTGTTATCAACCCAATACTTGAATCAAAGTGACAGCTTCTCGTGAGCGAGGAACAGACTACATATGCAGAGAGGTGAACTGATAAGACGAACAGAAAAATGAAAACAGTGATGATAATTCAGACAGAAAAATTGCAATAATCTATTTACGTTGTGTCACGATTTCATTTCCCGTTGCAGAGATGTCACACGCTTGTCCCTAAAAAAAAATACCCAAGCAGCATGTGTCTCTTTCAAGAGGAACCAGCAACTGTGGCATTCCCGCTCTACACGCTTTCCACCACCGTATATGCAACAGTGAAAATGAGAACATGGTAAACCAAAGCAGAATAGAACGTTTCCTCAAAGCAGAATAGCACTAAAACGAAAGCTTCTCCAGCATACTGTGTCAGGGAGTAAAAGGCTGTGGATTTGATGAAAATAGATACATAAAAGGCTTTAATACTTAAAATATTACAAATGATTTGATTTGATTTTACTATTGTATTTGTATTAAATGTGCTTCAGAAATAAGTTTGACGTGAGATCGTCCGTACTTAGATTAAAACTCCGATCCTTGAAGAAAACTGATGTAAATTCACGTTATCAAGCGTCAAAGCTAAAGATTTTTGCTGAACTGAATTTAAACTTTTCATTTACAAGTGAAACATTGTGTTCTTTCTTCTCTCACTAGTTATAGTTGCACTTTATAGTGCAACTATGGTCTCAAACATCAGTGTGACTAACATGGTCATGTGTAAACTATAAACATAATATCCATCACTAAAACATACCAGTTTCTGGTTGAAAGCACTCGAGTGTGGGAAAATAACGAGCTACATAAGTGACAGTTTCAATGCAACAGAATTTCTGAAACTCAGAAGTTTCACTTACTTTGCTGCAGAGCTGAGCTGCTTCAGGATGCTCAGAGACTGTCGGAGCATGTCTGCAGCGGAACCTGACCAGCTTCTCTACCTCACCCCCCACCTGAGTCCTGCTCAGGCCCACTGAGTGTCACTGCTTCACAACACGTCCACGCAGGGCCGTGCTACTTCTTCAGGTGAAGAAGGTGGAGCACAGGCCCGTTCTTCTCTGTGTGTGCGTGTTATCGTCAGTTTTTGTTCTGGTTTCAGGGGTGTGCTCTTAAGTAACAGCAACACAAGTCAGTGAATGAGGAAGTTGCACAGATGAAGTGTCAGCTGCGGGTGGAAGAGAGATTTTGTTTGTCAGGTTTGACTGCCACACTTTGTTTTAACAGTCTGTACTGATGATGATGATAACTCCGACATTACACAATGGACTTATAATGGGTTTTATTCTGTTTACCAAAGAAGAATTTACTTTTGACAAATCTCATTTCCAAACATCCTCGCAGCCTGCGGTTAGTCAGTGCTTCTGTAAATGACAGTGTGTGGACAGATGTACAGAGGTAAAAAAACTCAACAAAAGAGGAAACTGTGACTGCTGCTGATATGTAGTTTTAAATCAGTGCAATTTAAATGTCTGTTTTATTTGAATATGGGCAATACTCAGTCCTACAATATTTGTATAAGTTGGGCTTTACCTGCATTCACTTTCTTTTTCAAGTTTCATTCTTTTTTTGTTTTGCCCAAAATAAAAGTTGACATAATTCCCACTTTCTCCCACTATCCACAAATGAAGCCATAATTTGCGCAGTAGCAATAGGAGGGACGGAGCTGCTGTATCTAGGTCCTGCTGATAAGTATGCTCGACCAATCGCGAATCAGTCTCAGAAAATTCTCTCCGTCTTTAAAGCATCGAATTACTAATTTAAACCAAACTTACTGGAAAAGCTGACACTTGAACTAACAGCAGTGTGATAAGAACAAACTAAAATGACAGAAACTAACATGGAAGAGGTGGGGTTTAGGACATGTTCTCCACTAGGGGGCGATCAAGACGCTTTGGCGTCACTTTGGGGGAGCAGAAATGTCGTCCATCATTACTTAGTCTGTTCCTTTCACTCTCAATAACATTATTCTGGTGTGTGTGCGATATTTGGTGCAGCCTGAGTTTCAGAGGACCGTTGGGTATCGGTGGAGGTTTCTACTGACGGCCATTTTTTAATTTAAATGTATTTTCGCAAGTAATTGATATATTTCCATTTGCTTCTTATTTCAAAATGTTATATTAAACATAGGTTCATTTTATTTTTAAAAAACGATTTTATCTGACCGTTTTATCTCACATCTGAATCGATATGGTGATTCCATTAGAGTCATAATCAACATGAAAAACAACATAACCATCTCCTGTTTGTCCAATAAAGATTCTGTGATCAAACATGGTATTAAATTGGTCCTTCAGTCTGAGATAAGCAGGACACACTTCATTAAGAGTTTGATTTTCACAATGTGTTCAAATATAAAATATATATTAATAACTTACTAAATTCTCATATTGTAATGACGCACAGAAGCATCCAACTTTCACTTCTGAGTTGAACATCCGGAGATGAGCGAACGATCAGAGGTTTGTGTTGGTCAAATGCTGCCATGTAGTGGCGATATTAACGAACTGCACATGAAGAACACAAACATGATGCTCTGTTTAAATAGTGTTGTTGCGTTTTTCTGGAAACACCAGCTTATGAT